GCCGCGCCCACCGCCGCCGCTCCCGCCTTCATCGCGCGCTTTCGGTTGCCGCCTTTTTTGACTTCCCTCAGTCGTCGACGCGTTTGAGGCGTGTACCCATCATGAGGCGCTGGCTCTGAGACCTGCCCTTTTCTCCGAGGCCATGGAAAAAGAAAAACCGTTTAAACTGGTCGTGCCGCCGCGGCTGAGCGGCGGTCAGGTATCTGCAGTTAAACCCCAGACGAGTGCTCGGGCAACAGGGCCACATCAGGTAAGCGGTGCTGCCGCCTGCCTTGCGTCGTGTTGGTCTGGAGGCGATGGCTGAGGAGTGGGCAGCGGGGCAGAGCGGTGGGAGCGCACAGAGGCCCTTACACGGGGACACGGCGGGAGCAGCCCTTGTGGAGAGCCGCCAAGCAATGTCTTGGCCCTGCGTCCTGGAAAGCACATGCATACATACGCGTGGAAGTGCGTGCGATGGACTAATTTTTCTGCAGACGGTTAAAGGGGGGGGGTGTCTATCTTAAGTTTTAGTTTCAAAGAGTTTTACTTTTTTCCATTGAAACAGAAGAGAATAATCGTCTGGTATATATTTTAACGTACACCACTGGTGATAAATAGGTGTTTGATGTGGGTAACTCAGTGAGCGGGTAGTACACCACTTGGATACTGTCGCTGGCTTGGATTTATTGGTCCCACGAGATCAAGCGTGCAGTGAAAATGTTTGGTTGCTATGCTCTTGAGCTATGTGAACTCAACAAGGTAATTTGCCATGTTGAGGCTTCTTATGAAATGTTTAGATTCAAATATGGTATTCCGACAGATGAGTTACACTATTTACAACACAAATTTATGTGAGTTAAAACACACTGTAAAATTAAAGTTTTGTGGTAAGACAATCGGATATGGTTTAGAAATACTTTTGGGAATAAAGCAAAAAATATCAAGTACTGGACTTGGAAAAAAAAATTTGTTTAATGAGTCCTTTACCCTTCAGCTGTGTGTAGGCATGCAATAGCTACTGAAGTCTTGTCATCAAAAGTTTCCACTTCAGCCACATTGTAGTCTGCAAAGGAAACCATAAAAACCCAACAGTGTGAAAAGTCACCCTGAATTTAAAAGGAAGCAAGAGAGTTCCAAAGCCATTACCAATGCCTTGGCCTTTGAAAATCATAGGTAGTTGATTTATTAATGGAAGAATATTTTTTCACATTAACTGTACTTTTTTTTGGTATGTTTTATAATCCTTCCTTACGAATCTGCCCTTAAACTAATTCTTAAATTTGTGCAGGGTTTTAACAAATGCCCAGATGATGATTTTAATTTGCCATTTGTAATGAGTACACTGAACCGTGGTGAAATCACTGATTCAGGTAAGGCTAAAATAAGAATTTACATTGCACATTCTTTAAATTTTTTTAATATTGTTGTTGTTTTTCATGGGTAGTTTAACAATTTCATAGCTGTAACATTTTAAATACAGTTCCACTCTTGTTTTAGAAATACATTGATCAAAATCTCTTCATATTTCAGATGTGATTTCACAGCAAGTAAAACTGTGCTCTGAGGTAGATGAAGAGGTCAGCTAAGTATAAACTCTGCATATCTGATTTCTCAGGACTTAATTTGTTGCCAAAGCAGTGCCTAAAGCTTTATTCAGTAGATATTTCAAGGGCTAGAGAAAGTAGTCAAAGGGGAGTAACAATTTTCTGTCTCCTATTTAAAGCTGAATCACTTAGAGGAAGTATTTGTGATTCAGAGAACATGCATGGAGATAGCCTTCAAATACTAAGTTGTTTTGATTTTAAAGTTCCTGAGTAGTCTGGGAGTTTTAATCAGGATAAGATTTAGACTTAAATATCTTTGTGAAACTGGTTCTGAATTGAAAGGCGGAAGGGTTGAAGTCAGAATATTCTTTGGTAAATGGAGGCAGATTATTCTAACTTCCTTGTCTGGCTGTATTTTATCTATAAAACGATTAATTTATGGACTGGTTTCCATAAGCATTTGGTTCTTCTCATAGCATCTTTACCAATGTTTTTCTGCTTTAGTATACTTAGTAAGGCTAATTTTTTATTTTTTTTTTTTTGGTAGCTTCCTGTGCTTCCCAGATACAAAATGCCTTTTGCTGCAGCAAAATAGAATGTATTTTTTTTTTAATGATTTTCAGATCACTGAGGACTGAACTTCTTTTAGCTCTAGCAGCTATTAAATTACAGTCAGGACTGTAGCAATATCATGATGCGGTCAAAACAAGAATAGTGTTAAATGACATACCAAAAACATGCTGCAGAACTGCCCTCTGGCCTACTGTACTACTCTTACATGGTGAAATAACTGGTTAAGCACTACCTTGTGCAGCGCTTTAAAGATGTTCTAAGAGCACAAGTCTATTTGACTTTTCCTCCTGCTTTGTGTACGAGCTAACTGCAAAAATATATTGCAGGCAGTCTTGGACAAGATACCTGAAGCTGTTTGTACTTAGCAGTATCTGTCAGAATAAGAGGAGTGAAATGGTGTAAAGAACTAGCAGACAGAATCCTGGGTCTACTGATACTTCTAGTAAAACTTAATGTCTTTTGGTAGAGTGCAGTTATCAGTATCTTTAAGACTATCTATTCAGTGATGTCACTATATCTGAAGGCAGTGGAGTATTTTTCACTTCTGTTTGTGTCTCTTTCTTGTTCTGTAATGTCTGTTGATATGTACACATTGGATGCACAGAGATTTAAACTTTAGTTCCTGATTGTATATAAGCTTGTGTAACTGTGGAAAAAAAAATTGCTTGTGATATTTTTAAGAGAGAAATATGTAACTAAAATGTTATTAAACAGCATTTGAGATTAAGTTGTGGAACCTGTTTTAATAGAATATAGAAACAATGAATGAGTTGTATTCAAAACTCTACAAAGAGGCTGAGAAGATCAAGCGGTGGAAACTAACTGTAGAATCAGAACTAAAGCAGAAAGAACGAAAACTGCAAGAAAATAGAAAGATGACTGAAGCACAGCGTAAAGCCATTCAAGAATTGCAGGCCAGTATTGTGCAATATACATTGAATACGTAAATCAAAGAGAAGATTCTTGATTTAGTATGATATTATTAGTACAATTAAATATTAAGGAGCATTGCAGCAGTTGAAGAAATTTTGAATGGTTAATGTAAGGACTTCAGAGCAGCCATTCAGCTAGATACTAGTGGCCTATGACTACTGTGAAAGGAAAAAGTAACATTTTGGTTTTTAAAAGTGGCTTTACAGTGCGCATTCCCCTTTTGTATTATCTACATGCACATCATACTGTGAGTATGCAGAAACCCATTCAAGACTGAGTAAGTTTTCATCCTTCTGATACATGTAAAGTATGTGCATGCATATTTCTGTGTTCAACACACACACAGGAAGTAGTGCACTCTGCTTTATCCGAGTTTATCTTGCTGGTAGTGATGGACAGCTTTGTGACAGAAATACGTAGTTTAAACAATTTATTGGCCCTTTTTTTGTTGTTGTTTGCATTGGCTTTGATAACCTGAGTCATCTTTGATTGTTTGACTTTTGCCTTGACAAAATGGCTATTCTGAGCAGGGGTGCACACATGCAGCGTGTGAATATATGTATGAATAACATACCTGTGAGTGTCCCAGTTGCTGGTAAATTATTTATTTTGATGTCTTTCATGCAAACTGTAAGAACAGATGGCTTAGCATGTAATAGCAGATAAAATGTATTTCTGTCTTCTGATGCAGAAAATTACTTTTTTATCCAAGACTTGATTAGTGAAAGTCTAATTCTAGTATATTTTTCAGTAACAGTGTGGTTTTGTATTTTTTCCCTATGAAATTAGTTTGAAAATGAAAAGCTAAGTTTAAAACTGGAAGATGAGATATGTGAAAATAGAGATCTCTTAAAAGAGTAAGTAATACAGTCAAATTAATTGTTTTCACAAAAATATGTTTTCATGCTGAGAACTGTATTCATATAGGAAGTTACATATAGCTGTTAATTTGTAAAGATCATCAGGACATCTACACTATTTTTACTTAAGTATGCAAAGTACCATGCATTCCTGTGACAACATATGGTATTTTTTTCCCTAATGTAGAATCACGGCTTCAAGGCATCTGTGTAATCTGCTCAAGGAAACTTGTGCTCACTTCACAGAGAAGTCCACCAAATGTAAATGCTATTTACATTTTATTTTATGAAAGTAAATGTACTTCTAGCTTTCTCTAAATTCACAAAGGAAAAAATATTCTGTTCCAGATACATGCTGTGGTTCAGATATACTGTATGTGGCTCTGCATCAGAGTGAAATTAGAAGTGAAGCCATAGGTCTAATACAAGTGTGTTTTGTAATGCTAAATCCAGGGTTTTTCTGGAGTCAGTAGGATTGTTTGCTAAAAGGTTACCAATTCTGGGAGCTATTCAGGTGTCTAAACACCTATACAGGTTTAAGGCAGTGTAAGCAACCCTGATTAGCCACTAGTAGCCGCTCCAGAGGAGTGCAGGTCTCCTGAAGTCTAGTCAGTCCTGTCCAGATACCCTTAATATTTAAAAACATATAAGGTGGCACTTCATGCCTATGTTTAGGCAGTAGAATCTACTGTAGTTACTGTTACCAGGTCTCTTTAACAAATTCCAGAGTTGGTGTTACCGTGTTCAGAGCAATTAGAGATCTGTGGGGAAAAAAAGGTCCAAACCCAAGACCTTCTGAGTAATTTAGGGACATAGTTTACCAGTGGACTTGCTAGAGTTAGGTTAATGATAGGACATAATGATCTTAAGGGTCTTTTCCAATGGAAATGATCCTCTGATTCTATAATTAGTGTTCTTCTCACTACATTAAGACAGCTGCGTACATTAATGAAGCGTAAATTCTTGAGGTTTCAAAATACATTCTTGACTTGGGATGGTTTTGTATATGAAATACAGTATTGTTATTACAATCATTAAAATCTTACTAACTTTATCCCAGATACTTAAGATAATTCATTTTTTTAATTCCCTCTGCTGTTTAAGCATAATGTCTTGGATAGCTAGTGTTGTTTTTCAAAAGGAAAACTTTATGGTACATTCTTACTTTGACAGATGAACATGAAAGAGATGAAACAAAAGAACTCTATGTGGAACTTCATAACAATGTTGAAGTAAGTGATGTATCTTGTGATATAAGATACAAATGTGATCCAAGTTATATGGATATGTTGAGCTATCTGAGTTATGTGTGTATGTTGTGATACTGTTTGTATCCCAACACTGCTTCTAACTTTTAAGAGAAGTGCAGTGTTGCCAATCTAATTAGTCATATTTTTGTTATTAATTATTCCATTGTGGACAATAAGACCCTAGTATATTTATAAAGGAGAAATGCAAGGCATTGTTGTTTGGGAGTGATGAACTTGATATTAAGCAGTCAGAGTACATGGTATAATGGTTAAATATTAATTAGTTGTTGTAGCAGCCAAGAAAAGCACAACTCTTCCATTGCGTTAGGGATCTACTAACACGGACCAGTAAAAGTATTTCATCCTTGAAATTGTTTAGATCCTGAGTACAGAGATTCTTAAGCTTCCAACTTCGAGTAATTACATTCTGTTAACTCAAAACATGTTTGTGCTCTGAATTTTTGTTTTTATCAGAATTTCTCGTACAAATATGAGCAAGCTTGTAATAGTCCTTTTACAGACAATAACCATTATTCTTTATTGCTGAAAGTAGATGGTATTATATGAACGTGTATTGAATTTTATTTTTAGAGAATGATAATGGCATTTGAAGAGCTTCGTGTGCAAGCAGAGAATGCCAGAGTAGAAATGTGTTTCAAATGTGAGAATTCCATTTATTCTGTTTATGCTGCAGGGTTAACAATTTCGTGCTTCATAGGTTTTTACTGCATGCAGTTTCAGGCCAGAAAAATAAGAAGTGCTCCAATGGTGAACAGTTCACACTGTAACAGTCTTGACCCTCTGTTATTCATGCTACCTCCTAAAAATGCCTGAGCCCTTTTATTGTTCTTCTATTGGGTCAGATTTGGAACTTTATCTTTCACATAGTCAAAGTATTAAGTTTTGTCTGTGAAGTACAGTCTACAGATCACTACTTATTTTATGTAGTTGTTTTAATTAAATGATAATGCACTAGTGTATAACTACAGAAAATTAAATATTTGCTTTATGCTACTATGTGCCTGTTGTATTTTTACATGTGCATGTCTGTTAGTTTCTTATAACAAGCTAAGCGCGGAATAATGGTCTAATTTTGTGGAAAGCTGGTACAAAAATTCTTTTGTCTGATTAGAAAATAATTTCAAACATGACCTCAGCAATTACTCTTTAGGAAACAAATTGTACAGCTGTACAATTATGAGCAATCTTAAACTGGAAATTGTATTTAACCTGCAGTACATTTCAGCTAGTGTATTAACTATGGATATTATTATGTCTCAAAAGTAAAAGAAGAAGCAGAAAAAGTGGACAAGTTTGAAAAAGAATGCAAACTGGAAGTCAGTATGAAGGAAAAGCAGGTAAACAATCTTGCAGTTTCTTTATTTGAACTGTTTTGCTTTTGTGACATACTGAGATATTAAATGAAAAAAATTATTTTGAAGAATCCACGTTGTTTCTAAAATATTTGTATTTTGGAAGGATGGAAATGAATATTGACCATTTCATGGTGTTCCTTTTTGTGTTATTTGGAGTAAAATGTGCATTAGGCTGATGTAGCAAGGGATACCTTAGTGACAGGATTTAAAAGCACCATGTAAACACTGAATACGCTTTCTGTTTTCTATACATATGCTTGCCTTTATAAAGTGGCTTGTGCAGAAGCATGAAGTTAGCAAAGCAGTCATCAGTCCTTGTAGTGAAGAAAGGTATAGTTTGGGAAGGAGGAGAGTGGGAAGAAGATTTATAATGCATACTAGACAACAGGCTGGTAAGAGTGTTTATGAATCTGAGAGTAGGTTTATTTTTGTAGTGATGAGGTAACCATTATGGAAGACTGGTTAAGCTGAAGAAAATTATTGTGATAAGAGTTTTTTTAGTTTTTAAGCAGGACTCTGAGAAGGTGAGCATCTATCTGTACCTGGCATGGTCAAGAGGTGTTGGTTGATTTTTCTGCGGATAGATGTGAAATTGCAAAGGGGCAAGGAGTGTTCCTGCATATCAGTAAAAGGGACAAAAATAACAGCTGAAGCTGCATTTAAGTCAGATTCTGCTAACTTCAGTGATGGTCCAGTATCTTTAGTCTGTTGACATTCATGTTTTGATTTTTGAACTGAATAACTTTCATCCATAGTAATATGACTTGATCAATATTTGGCTAAGACTGACTACTAATGATAGCAGTATGTTAATCATGCATGATGCACAAACAAAAATAAGCCTGTTCTTGTTTCTAGACTTCATTATGATAGTATTTTAATTTTGTTAGATTTCAGTTCTTAGCATACAGAGTGGTGAAAAAGATGACGTAATAAGAGACATCAAGATTCGTCTGCAGGAATCAAAAGCTAAGATTGATGAATTAGTTGAAGAAAAAAGTAAGAGTTCTTGAAAATGTACTTGATTATAGAAGTATAGGAAACAGGATCATAATCATTTTACCCTGTTACTTGTCAGTAACAGAATTTTGAGGAAGGAGGACAAGCTGCTGATGTGGGGTGAGGACTGTTAGTGCCATCTCCATATGTGTAAAATCTAGGCCCTTATTTCACAGTGAAGGTTTTCTCTTCAGGCTTAGGCTACATCTTTTTTATTGACATGATAGCTTCATTGCAAGGGATTTTCTTTTACATTTCAATAAACTCTAGTGTGAACATGCTGTCCTGCTGTAAAGTTGACATATACTCTGTCATTCTTCTGTGTAACAGAACTAAGTTTTAGAAGGACACTGTGTAACCCTACCTCTGTTCTGGACATTTTTCTATTTCTGCTGGACTTGTATAGTAAACATAACATAATAATAGATGAAAGTGTGTTTTCCTGGTTAATAGATTGATCTTTTTCAAATCAAGTTAGTGAAGTGTCTTCAAAGTATAGTATTTGTTCAGTAGTCTGTAGACATATTAATATTTTCACATCTTTGCCAAATAATTCCCCAAACCGCAATGTTACAGATTTTAAATGGAATCTTGTTTGCAAATAGGTGAACAATTGACTGGGATTGGAAGTATAACTATTTTTGAAGAGTCCTTTTTTAAGGATGAGTCAAGCAGTGAGAGCTTTTGAAGACTACAAAAGCAAAATACATTGCTTGAGTTTTGCAAACTTAGTCAGGTGCCATTGAGGAAACTTACTTTTCAGAACCTGATTTTCAGTATTTTAAAATCATTTATATTACAAAGTATTTGTAGCATATGATGCAAGTACCTTTGCTCTTTAGAACTGAGTTAATTTTCAGCCTCCCCTTTACTGGGGAGTGGAGAGGAAGGTTTTAGTGTTGTACATATAAGTGGCTGCATTTTGTTAAATTCTATAAATATATGTAATTTTACATTTTGGTTACTGAAAGCTGAAAGTCATCTTGGGAGGCTTTTTCCTTAACAATGGCATGAATGCATTATGTAACTTGATTAAGTTGTAGGAACATATTTATCTGTAAAATAGAGATGCAAGCATGTTTTAGTAAATATGCTATTTTTCTTAAATATAAGCATATATCTCCTTGCGTAGGACATGAAGGAGAAATGTTAAAGGAGTGTCAGATCAGTCAAGAACATTTGAGGGCAGAACTGGAAGAGGCCAAAGTTTCATTGCAAAAACAAGAGGTATAGCTGGCTTATAATTTTCCAGTATAAATAAAGGAGTAATTGCATAAATCATTACTGATAGTTTAGATATGAAACAGTTGTAACTGTTTGTTGCAAAACATGCTTAGAAATTATATTATTTTTTTTAAGGTTACTCAAAAGAGCTTAGAAACTGAATTACAGACTGCAATGCACGCATTAATTCAGGTCACTGGAGAAAAGGAAGCGCTGATGGAAGAATGTGAAAAAACTAAGGCTTTGCATGCATCCATGACAGAGGAGTTTGAGGCTTCTATTTCCAGTCTGAAAAGCTTGCTGCAAAAAGAGCAAAATAGGTAAATTCAAGAGTTTAAATTCAAAGAGTCACCTCACAGGTAAAATACTACATTACTGAGCTTCTTGGAATAAAATGTCAACTTCATATGTCATCAGGACTAGCTACTTTTTTTTTTTCTAGTCACTAGTAACTTGTAAAGTACTTCTGGAACTAAATGTCCATCTTGTCTGGACATTTGAATTATTAACACTTGAAGATGGTTATGCTATTTGGTTTTGTGTCTTTCATAATTCTGTTTTTAAGAACTACAGATTTATGTATGCATATATTTGTTTATTTTTGTCTGCTGCTCTGAAGTTGTGAAATTTGAATCCTGTTGCAGGCACATATCATCTGCCTGTTGAAAACCAAATGTTCTTAAAATGCTTGTAGTAAGACTTTGTCTTACCGTCCTTTAAGTTTCAAATGCAGTGCTTTGTACTGTACAATTTAATTTTTTTTTCCATTACTGTTTTCTTAGATCAGAGAAATATGTAGATGAATCAAAGCTACTTAACTTGGAGCTCAGAAATAAGTCTGCTGAACTGGGTAAGATTTGTAGAAAGGAAGAAAATGAGCTAGGTAGTATTAAAAATGTTTTCTTCGGTTTTCTGAAAGTGGACTGTCCCTTTTGCTTGGGAAAATGGTCTTACAGTGCCCCGTACCTGTCAGGAACGCTACAATTTATTTCTACTCATCTGACTCCCTAGTCATTAGTAGCTGGAAAGTCACACAGCAGCACTATGCAGGCCTCCAGCACATACATGCATACATGCATGGATTCTTCTGGAAGTAATATTTATTTCTCTGTTCTCCTCCAGTTAAGACTGATAGCACTGCACACCTGTTTGAGAGGCATTTTTTTTCTGAGCAATAGATTCCAGGAACGACTTCTCTGCCTTGTAGCAGACACAGAATGTTTGCATTAAGCTTTCCTGCAGACCACTCTCCCCATGTTGGAATAATTTGATTTCACTGTATGTATTGAGGGCATCTAATGATAAGTGTTCACAGTTCAACTGCTAATGCTTGTCTAGAGCAAGGTGAGATGTGACCTGTGAGAACTCCAGAGAAAAAATGAGTTTGGTGACCAGTTCTTGCAAAAAAATACTAGTAATGTGAATGTGCACATAGAAAAGATTTTGAAGTTAATAATAAGTGGTTTACTTTTTCAGTGTATCCATGTGAATCTCTTCAGCAGTCAAGATATTTTTTTTTCTGGAAAAAACATCAGATACATCAATGCTTGGAGATTGCTCTGTTCTTACAGGCCATGGTTGGTTTGAAACCATGATTGCTGAAAACACCGTAGGCTCTGAATTTCAAGACTAATATGAGCTTCGCTTCAGATATATATATATGCTATATAATGTCTTTCTGAGTAATTTTTTCAAGACCACATTTAGACTCAGTTATAATTTGCTTTACAATTTCTGCTTGATCCAAGAAGTTTTGAAAATTTGGAACTGTAAAGGGATAAATGGTTTATATGGTACCTGCTAAATATGTAAAATTGTCTTCAATTAATTTTACATTACATGTCCTGTAGAAGAGATGACTAAACTAAAGTGTGACAAAGAAAGGCAACTCGAAGAGCTGTCAGAAACACTGGTAAATGTTTGTTTTATTAATCTCATGGCATTTATTTTTCATACAGAGTCTCTTGCTTTGTAATTATCTTAAATGGCATATATAAGCACTGTCTAATCTGCCTAAATGTTGCTACTAAACTTTCTTTACTGGCTTTTAGATTATTTCAATGTGTTTTTTGAAGGACTTGATTCTTTCCACTCTTTTACTTATGTTCTGCTTTGTTTTGGTTTTCCTTGTCAAGATTTCCAGTAATTTCCTTCATCATTAAATGCCACTTGCTTTGGATATAAAGGTTTCTCATTTTTAGTTATGCCTAGTTCTCACTCTTTGCTGATTCTGAACCTTTCTGCCTTTTTGAAAAATAATTTTTTTTTTTTGGTGGGGGTGTGTGTGATGAAAATGAGCTCAACCTTGTGAGTACCACACACATTGCATTGAAGGCTGAGGGATAAACTGATTTCAGACAGTAAAGGTAATTCCTCAGGTAGCTAATTTTGTCAGTAATTTTGCAGATTAATTAGGCTTAGAGTAGTGGTCACATTTGGCACTTGTATTGGCTATCTCACATTACTTCCACATCACATCAGAGAGATGTAAAGATAACAATCTAGCTAATTTGTGGCAAGTATGTCTATTTGTTTACTCTTAAAACTTAGTGTTGTCAGTTTGTTTCTGATAGCTTTCATGACTTGTAGCTTACATATGCATACTCAAAATACTTTCTCTTTCTTCTGCAGAAAGAAGTCTATGATTTGAAAGTACTACTGGCTAGTACAGCTGAAAAGGAACAAAATTATTTAGAACAGCTTACAACACTGAATACAGATCTTGAACAAGAGACGTATGATCAGTTTTGAAAATATTGTATTAGTTTTTTTTTGTTTAACATAGAACTTAACATGCAGTGAATTGTTTTCTAATGTAAGTTTTGAACCTCTACATACAGTATGACATGTTACATAGTTATATTTATAAATTTTCTCTATTTGTGTGTAACTGTTCCATAGCTCTGTGACTTAGTTAACATGAAGAGAGAGTTTCTGAATTTTCAATCTTATAACAGATAAATTTAACTTAAAAGGAAATTTCAAAATACATGTTCTTACTTCTCTTGACCATTTGTTTTAAATTAGGCTAAAGAATGAACAACTAACAGTTCATATCAACAAGCTTTTATTAGAAAAGGAACAAATAACACATGAGAAATGTGATATGGCTGCAGAACTCAAGAAACTGCAAGAAAGTCATGAGGCATGTTGTAAAATTCCAGTTGTTTTGAAAGGACAACATTCAATTTAAAATACAAATCATATGGTAAACTGCAACATGACATGGTTCTATACAGTATCTGAACTATTTTGTGTGTTTAAAATACAAAGGAAGTGCAGTAACCCTTGTGAATAAGGCAGATCAAGGTACTGCTTAAGATGTCTTTGAATTTTTTAAGATGTCACCCTGAATTTTATTAATTTTACTTGCATGGGTTTTTATTCAGGATAGTAGAAAAAAAGAAGAAAAGACAAAGCAGTTAGTTGAAAACCTGGAAGAAGCAAATAGCCAGTTAAGGCAAGTAAAAGCAAATATTAATGTACAACATTGTTACAGGAAGTAGGCTTAATTCTTTTACAGTTAAGTCTAAATGTTGTGTTCATATGCTGCTTTCTGTGATTTGTAGATTTAATGCTTTTTTTTTTTTCTTATACATCTAAACAGCAACTAGTTAGTATTAATATTTGCTATATAGAAGTTTCTACAAATTAGTGATACCCATTGCTACAGGAACAATGTTTGCCATAGCTTCATATTACATATGGAGAGCTATTCCATTTTGCATTAACATCTTAGGTGTCAAGGAAATGAAAATAGAAGTTAAAGGTTAAAGATTAAATGTGAAAAGGTGAAACTGGTTAAATGTTACTCTCTGAAGTAGTCTTTGTATGACCACCCCAACAGACAAGTAGCCTTCTATGTTTCATAGATGCATTATGCTATTACAGATTAGAACTTATTTTACTCAAGTAAGAGGAACATCTTTCTATACTCACAGAAAGTAGGTACAGGTCAGAGATTTATTTGCCAGTCACTTTGCATCATTTTAAGATTTTCACTGAAGAGAACTTCATAAGCTGTTCAATATTAGCAGCTCTTGTAAGAAAATATGAGTTTATTTAGTAGTAGTGAAAAGAAGTTAAGGTTATTAAGCAAATATTTAATAATACTTGTTAATTTTGCATTTAGATATGAACTGGAATCTTTGAAGGAGAAGATGGCATTGAAAGGTGAAGAGATTAGAAGTAAACTGGATGAAAGAGAAGAAAATGTATGTTATGTCATGTGCTTTATCATGAAAATATATAACCTCGAGGGCAAAATCTAAATGTAAAACATTTTTTTTTCTGCAAAGCTCTGTCTAGGCATGTAGTCTCTTACAGAGGCTTTCTTTTTTCAGTGCTGCTACCAGATGAGTCAGCATGTGTACACATGCTAAGCCCTTTTATTCTAAAACACAAGGACCTTCACTGGGATGTTTACTCCTTACATGCAGGTTTAAAAATCCAGATTTCTTAGCTTTTGGGCAGATAACTTTTTAAATTTTTTTCTTTCCATTATACCCTCTTAGTGATGGATGGAGTATGGATTATAGCTTTCAATATGTAATGAGTCTTCATTTAAATATGTTCAAATATTTTTACTTTCTTACTGTGGTTTCAAACCACTCCTCTTTTAACATCATAATAGATTTTAAACTTTTATAATAAAAGTAAAAGATTTACAATTGTAATTCCAGGCTAAGAGTATTGAAAATGAAATTTCAAGAAAGGAAAAGCAGTTGAAGATTCTAGAAAATAAAGTATGAAACTTTATTTTATTTCATGGACTGTAGAGAACTTCATACATGACTATTTTTAAATTGTAAAGTTACATTTTTTCCTTCTGTCTAAACTCTACAACCACTGAGGTACTGGTCATTGCTATTAATGTTAGTGATGTTGAGCTAGCAAAATTCTTGTATCATTTAGTGATTAAAACTCCAGTCATTGTAGCACATTAGCATGTGTTTCAGTCCCATTGGAATTAATCAGACTTGTGCAAATGCACGTTTAAGAATGTTGACAGTAATCTCTAACACAGTGATTCATTTTTTGAGGAGTTCATTAATGTTTGACTGTCTCTTCTAGTTGAAGAATTTAAAGAAACAGGTGGAGAGTAAAACCAAATGCATCGAAGAGTTGCAACAGGAGGTATGTAAGTTTTTTTTTAAAAAGTCACAAATACATAGACATGTATACTTGATTTGTAAAATAATCCTTACTTTTGATAAATGCAATTACAGAAATAATATCTTTGGTAAACTTCTACTGTTTTCATTTAGTGCATGGTATCATTGATACACATGAAATAATGAGCTATCTCAGTTACCAATAGTGGAAAAGAATTGTGCATTAGGACAAATTATTAATAACTGTATTGCAAAAATATATAACTTGTATTTTTTTTCATAACATCTGCACATTTTCTGCCAGCAGCATCTTAATTTTTCTTCCCATTCTGCACCTTCTTTTGTTATTCTCTGTTGTTGCCCATGAGGAGCCTCTCATAAGGTCATGACAAAACAGTATTATTAAAGAATACAATAGTTGAGCACTCTGTTTGGAGAATTAATCGTGAACCTGAACTGCATAGCAAAAAGAGTTACTATAGCTTGCTGAAAGCTGGAATTTTGAAGATTCTGATCTACCTGATGCAGTTAAACTGTTCCATAGTTCTGTTAACTTATTAAAGTATAGCGCTTATTTTATTTTAACAGAATAAGGTGCTGAAAAAGAAAATTGCTGCAGAAAGCAAGAAAATAAGTATTTATGAAGGGAAGGTACGTTTAAATAATTTTGTGTTCAGGATAAGGGTAAAGCACAAAGACTTAATGTTTTATGTTCCAGTGTGACTAGTGATAGTGCGTGTTAATCACTTTCTGAACTGTTTTCTGGATCTGGGATACAGATTTTACAGGAATAAGCCCAGAATTTTTGGAAGATGCTCCCATTTTTAATTGTTGGACGCTGTGCTATCAGACATACGTGATAGATGGACATCACGTCTCAGGGAATTATATTCCTAATCAATCAGTCCCTTTCTTTTTTGGTTTATAGCCTACTGAACATTACTCAGTAATGCCACCCCCACTGAAATACAAAAGCAATTAAAAGAAAAGAATTTATTATTCACTGTAGGCAGCTTTTCACTGTGTTCTACAATATGTCCTTGATGAGAATAGTGTCCAGTTTTGGGTACCATGCTTCATAAAAAGATGTAATCTCTTTTGAGGGTATTCTTAAGAGAAACTTAAAAGCAAAAATTATAATCAAAATGCACGCTTGGGAAGAAAACATACCGAAAACCAGTTAAAATCTTAAACAGATTTACAAGGGACAGAATAAAATTTCCATCTGAAAATGAAGAATTCACAGCATTTAGGGTGACCTCCTAGAAACAGACTGCCAATTTATTTCATACAAAATTCTCATTAATATTAGCGCTTAAAAGGAATTCATCTTCTTTAGAACCAAATAAAAATATGAAAATAAACTATTTCTAGATAGACTGTTTCTTCATGTCTTAATAGGAAAAAAAAATCAAACATAATACAGTCATCCTGCTACATTTTAGGAGACTATCAGTTTTGTTTCCTTTTCCTATCTTGCATTCCATGCCATCAATACTAAAGAATCTTTTGTATAAAAAGCAGAATAGTGTCTGACTGCTAATGGATGGTTCCCTTACGTTAGAATGTTTCTTTCTCATTGACTAGCCTCTAGCTTTAGGACTTTTTTTTAACTGGGGTGTGCAACACTGGTCTGGGCTGTCTCTCCCATTATGGTGAGTATTTTCTAACTCCCTTCAGGCCAAAGTTCAACTTGATGAAAAAAGCTGAACATCTAATAGGAAATGGTTCAGTCATATACCTGAAAAGTAACAGAGTCTTTCTGCTCAAAAATAAGAGGCATATTTATTCCTGAACAAATAACAGCAATAATTCTGCATTTTCAAAAGGTGAATAAATTACAGTTAGAGATGGAAAATATGAAGAAGCAACATAAGGAAACAGTTGACATCTATCAAAAAGACATTGAAACAAAAAATGTAAATGAAAATAAGCTTCTTGAAGAGGTGGGAATTGTTAATTTTTACTGCAACTTTTATTGATGTATGGTTGTTTTATGAAGTTATATTGGGCAGAGTACTTGCTGTTATGTAGCGGTCTTGGAAACATAAATGGAACTTCTTGTGTATGCATGTGAGCAAAGCTTTAGTACATTAGAACCTTCAGCTGAAGCATTTGTATACGTCTTTAAGAACCCAGTTAAAAAATCTTTTTGTCAAGATATTGTTCACAGAAATGAAATTCTTGGCATAAATACAACATAAGCAAATTAGATTATAATTGTTCCCATATTAGTATTTTCCTGCCCTCATTTTCTTGATGTTAATATAAAAAAATGTTAGGCCTTGTGGTTCAAAATGATGGTTGTCTGCCACGGAAGAATGGATGCACTTTTAATCCAGGTTTATTTGCCTATTTTAACAACATGTATAAAAGATGTAGGATTTCAAAAGCATCTTAAAAGCAAATGAAGACTACACTGTTAGGTCATATATACATTGCATTCCCCAGGGTAAGAAGAAATGAAACTAAGATTATTATTTTTTTTTTAATATATTGTTCTTAATTATTAAGTAAATGAAACTTGTTACAAACAGGTAGAAAAGATGAGGTTGCTTGCTGATGAAGCAACAATAAAACAGAGAGAAACTGATGTCCGATGTCAACACAAGATAACTGAAATGGTGGCACTTATGGAAAAACACAAGGCAAGAGATGTTACTGATTTCTGTGATTTGTAATGCATGATACTATGTTAAGTAAAACCTTTCAAAACCAGAATATTGCAAATTAGAAAGTGAAACCTCATAATAAAGAGCTGAGTCTAGGAAAATGAACTTGGATACATGCTTGATTTTTCATTGTCTAAAAAAAAACCTCACCTTAAAATTTTGAAAACATGCCTACTGACAGATAAATTTAATTTATCTGAATTTTTAGGATTTTTTTTTCTTTTTAGATTGAGGCTTCCTTTGATACCATCCTAAAGAAGTGTTCTTTAGTATTGGTTGGGGCCTCTCTTAAAAGGAGATTAGTTTGTGAATCTATTCAAATAGATGCAAATGACAAATAGAATTGTTAAACTTCAGCAGTTTAACATATTTTAATTTACATTCCTTATTACTCTGTTTTGCAGTATATTTACTATTAAAATTATACTATTAGCATATTTCAGATACCATTAACAAAAATAATATGGCTATCTTTTATGTACTGGAACACATACTGCTGCACAGAGACAGATCATTCTCTGTCAGCCCACCAAATAATACTGTTTGTGCATTGTCTGTTTTACAGTTTCTGCTGAAGCATCCGTGTTCGTAGTACTTTCTTTCAGAAGGGCCTTTTTTGAAAAAAATAAAGTTTTAAGACTAGGTGGATCTATAATTGTAACATTGAATCAAATGTCTTTTTTTTAACACAGCATGAATATGATAAAATGGTTGAAGAAAAAGATAGAGAGTTAAAACTTTATGAAATAAAAGAGCAAGAGCAGTTATCATCAAAAAGATCATTGGTAAGGTGTACTCTTCAGCACTAAATTAAATGGAGGAGCTGCTATCCTTAGTGTAATATAATTGTATCATAATAAATTTCTTCCTATTTAACCCTTGAGAGGAGTTAAGTGTCTGCTTGAGTGGGACTGAACAGCAAAGATCAACCCACTAATGCTTCCTGTTACGTTTCTTGCAGCTTTTATTAGGTGCATTAAAAAAGCCCAAAATGTTTCTAAAAGTAAATTGGAGTAGCTCTGCTTTTCTGTCTACTTTTCCTGATAGTGTGTTATGTTCTAACCTCATTGACTAAGAAACTTCTGTATTAAGGAATTGGATTCCACCCTCCCCCTCCATGTTCTCAGAAGTGTTTTAAGTTCTTATTTGAATGGTTCTTGTCATTTACTTGTTTCTTAGTAGTGCTTCAGCTCTTTTTAAAACAAACTAAAAGCTTCACGTATAGAGTTGCATTGCACTTTTTCTTTTTAGCTCCTTTCTGGTAAGCTTAGCTTTGAGAAATGTTCTGAGAGCCAACATCCCCTCAAGATTTTGACAAAAGTTTAGTTTTACAGAATCTAATTAAAACACAGTATTTATCTGACAAGTTCCTTCACAGAACTTTCATTCAGTTAGGTTGGTGGTTTGTTTTGGTGTGGTTTTTTGTTTTTTGTTTTTTGGTTTTTTTTTTAATAGAAGGAGGAATGACTCGTGTCTGTATGTCGTTTTCTTCTTTTAAATTGATAACTGTTTCTTTGATCATCTGTTATTCTAGTGATTGAATTATGCCAAAATGAACTGTAGATTACTTGGCATGATAAATTTATAGATAAGTTCGCTCTATTGAACAAATGGAATTTTGCTTTGTTTCTAATGAATATGCTTATTAATTACTGTCTTGTTCCAGATTGTTTTCATTTTTCCAGGTTAACCATATCCTTTAATTGTTTTTAGGAAAGTGAGCTGTCAAGTTTGAAAAGCGAACTGTTATCACTTAAGGAACAACTTAAAGCAGAATTTGAAGAGAAGGTATCTTTTTATTAAATGTAGCAGTATGGATGACATATTTGGCCTAGTCTTATGCACTATAATAATGACAGCTGTGAAGTGCACTTTTGATTCTAGGTCTTGCTATCACTTGCTGTCTGATTTCAAGAGCTTGATGCGTTCTGAATTCATTATGTCTCATTTCTGGTGATAGTGAATGTTTTGCATTACTCCTTAATTGTTAAGTATGAGGGAAGCAGGGAGAAACTGAAGCCCTATGAAAAACTGCCCAAGCTTTCAGGGATGATGTCAGGAAAGCCAAAGTCAATCTGTAGGTAAAACTGACAATAGAATTGAAGGGCAACAAGAAAAGGTTCTACAGGACCTGCTGCTGAATCTGTCTGGAGTTCTGATGTCAAAGGGCAAGGAAAAGGCTGTGGTATTCAATGGGACCTGGAAAGTCTGGAGAAAGGAAAGTTTAGCCTTGGAGGAGCATCAGGTTGGGGAATCTTTAAACAAGCTGGACATATGTAAGTCCATGGGATCTGATGAGATACATGCATTAAGGTCTGAGGGAGGTGGCCAGTATCATTGCAAGGCCACTCTCAATTATTTGTCAAAAGGTTCTGGTGACTATCAGAGGTTCCTGATGACTTGGAAGAAAGCAAATGTCCATTCTGCCTTCAAGAAGGGCAAGGAGGATCTGATGAAATGCATGCTAGTCGGCCTCATTTCAGTCCCTGCACAGGTGGTGGAACAAATAATCCTGGAAACCATTTCCAAACATATGAAGGACAAGAAGGTGATTTGGAGTAGTCAGCATAGGTTTGTACGAAGAGGCAATTGTGCTTAACCAACCGGATTGCCTTCTGTGATGAGATGACTGACTTGGCAGATGAGGGTAAAACACTCGATGTTGTTTCTCAGCCTTAGTAAGGTTTCAGCTCTGTCTCTCATAACATCCTTATGGGCAAACTGATAAAGTATGGGCTGTGAGTGGATAGTAGATTGAAAAGTGGCGGAACTCCTGGGCTTATGGGATTGCAGTTAGTGTGGAATGAATTCCAGCCAGAGGCCTGTTATTAGTGATGTATATCCAGGGTTGATTTTGGGTCCAATACTGTTCAACCTCTTCATTGATGACACAGATGATGGGATGGAGTGCAGTGTCAGCAAGTTTGCAGATGACAGAACAGGGAGAAATGGTTGATACAGCAGGTGGTTATGCAGTCTTTCAGAGGGATCTGGACAGGATGGAGACATGGGTGGAACAGGAATCCCATCAGGTTTAACAGAGGGAAATACAAAGTCCTGCACTGGGGAAGCAATAACTTTGAGAACCGGTACAGATTAGGGACTGACAGGCTTGAAAGCAGATTTGCAGGAAAGCCCTGGGGTTCTGGTGAACTGTAGGTTGAGCACAAGTCAAATGTGCTCAGCGTCTCAGGCTGCATTTGGAAGTCTGTTGCCAGCAGGTCAAGGGAGCTGATCTTTTCCCTATATTCAGCACCAGTGAGACCACACTTAGAGTATTTCCAGTTCTGGGCTGCCCGATACAGGACAGAAAAGGGCATTCTATAGTTAATGCAGCAAAAGCCCATGAAGATCATTAAGGAATTGGAGCATCTGACAGAAAATAGGGACTGAGAGAGCTGGGATAGCTTAGCCTAAGGAAGAGAAAGCTTGGGTATATTATCAGTGTGTGTAAATATCTTATGGGAGAGAGTAAAGAAGACAGCAAGACTTTCTCAGTGGTATCCAGAGGAAGGACAAGAGGCAATGGGAACATAAATACAAAAATATAAGAAATACCATTTAAACACAAGAATAAACTCTTAAGTGTGACAAAACAGAGAACAGGTTGTCCAAAGAGGTTGTGGAGTCTCCACGTTTGGAGACATTCAAAATGCTGTTGGACATAGTCCTGATTGTAGTTCCCTCTGCTGTGAGCAGTGGTTTTAGACTAGACGATCTCCAGAGGTCCATTCCAACCTTGACCAGTCTGTGATTCTGTGCTTGCTACATAGGATTCTTCAGCTGGCAAAAAAAGTACAAAATAGGATTAAAAAGATGGTGAAGGAACATTTACTTCAATGAAGAATTGCTTCCAGGGGCTCTTTCTTTTTTTAAATACAGCTGTGATACAAATTGTATCCTGTTTTCTCATTAAAAAGGGATCATATGTAGGTCGTTGGCAGAGATGTGAAAGGTTATATAAGAAATGAAACTGAATAGAAAAGTCATGTCTTTTGAATGGTGCAGTTTGACTAAATCTGGGTTACATTTGTGCAAACTTTGTAACAGAGTATGATTGTGAACTGTGTTCTATAAGATTTTCAACAACTGAATTAAAATAAAATATTTACTTCCTATCACTTAACTCTTTTTAGGAGAAGCTTGCAAAACAACTCTCCCAAAATATGGTTGCTGAAAAGGAAAAGAAGCACAAGGTATCTTTAACCTTTACATTAATTAATTTAGAATTTGGTAATATTTATACATATGCAATCTAACTGAAGTTCCATGATAAATTACATACACTCAACAAAAGACATTCAAATGTCTCTAATTTTTTTTTTTTTTTTTTAACTTTAGAGAATACAAACTCAGTTTCTTGAGACTCCTAAACTTTATTTAGATCTGGACTGTGAATCTACTAATGTAAAAACCAAAAAGCCTCCAAATGATGTGCCTACAGAAGTCAACATGATGGAAAAGAAAAAAGTGCCTCCTTCAGTATCTGCAAAAAGTCACTTGGGTAGTCCATCTGTAAAGGTTTGTAGCTTTTAATGGTGAATCGTTCTTGTTTTATTTTTCTGACTGTAGTTCTTCTCTGCAGATGCTTATTTTTGTTTTGAGATGCAGGGAATTAAAAGGTAGATAGCCACAAAAAAAGATATTCTGCAGAAATATTAGAAAGCAGTTTGTGTAGAGGCTCCTACTTTTTGTCATTTTTCTTGCTCAGTTACATAATTTGACTGGTATCATTGATCCATAACAGTTCCTGTCCTGAAGGGACTGTGAGTTTAATAATGTTTATAGAATCTTTTACTTAGGCTTAAAAGAAAAATGTCTCTTTGTAAAAGCAGATTTTTCTCTGGAACACAAAATAGCTTTTGTAGCTGTAGAAGTTACCAAACTGTTCCTGACAGCCTCATTGTAACTGTAAAACCTTGTGCTTCTGCTCTGTCAGAAACTCACATGATATTTATATCTCAACAGTAGAAACAACTACTGTTTTTATGTTAACGTTTCTAAAAAAGGATTTCCTTGTTCAATTGCAACATTTCTGAAGTTTAACTTCTACTGTAAGAACTAGTTAAGTAAAAACAATGTTGTTCTTGATATCCCTATCTATGTCTGTCTTAAAGCTTTTTCCTGCAGTTTTGTTAGTATACATTTTCTTAAATGTTGGTTACAGTCAATATGTAATGACTACAGTTCAGAATAACCTGAATTTCTGCAGAGAAGTGTGAAGAAGTTAGATACAGCATGCCATAAAACTCAGTTTTTCCACAGCTTCCTGCTTATTCTTCTTGTTTGGAAAAAAAAAAAAAAAAACAAAACTTTTTTTTTTTCCCCTTCATTTGGGTTTTCACATTTTGGATGGAAAGAATTGTTCCACAGCATCTCTCTAGTGTCTTCCTGGATACTCAAGTCTGTGAACGGCATTATGAATTTGGTTTTAGATTCTATAATTACCGCTGAAAAAGACAATTTTAAATGCCCTCTTTTTCTTTGACAGACATATATTATAAAGACTCCTCCAATAAATAAACTGCAAAGCGAAAGCACAAATCTGCATTCAGAACAGTGCATGAGGAAAAAGCAAAAAGTGCTTCTACAGCTGGATGCTCAGTCAGATAGCTCTGAACACACTGACCTCCTGGTAAACATCAGAGAACAAATATTGTGCTTACCAGTTCTTTATGCACACTCTTATATCTAAGAATGTATATAAAGCATGTGGGGTTCTGTATTCAAGGCAGTATTTATGTTTATTTTTGTTAAATTGGTTCTTTCTGGGCTTGTATTTATATGTACATAATTAGTAACTATATGACAGGGTACTGCTACACAAAAATATAAACATTTATAATGATTTTTTACATTGTTTTTATTGAACTGTTGAGGCTTCATAGTAACATCTTAACTTTTTAAATATACTCTTATTATTCCTAGGGTGAAAGAAAATATAGTTTCTAATATAGTGTGATTAAGTACCTTTTTTTATTTTTAATTTAAGAGCATAGTCTCGGAAGAAGAAATGTTTCAAAAATTGCACAAAGATTATCCTCAAGTTTCACAATTATATGCCATGACTTCAAAAAAGGTACCTTAACTTTTCTTCGTATCAAAACAAAGAGTTAATTGAATTGGTTATAGAAACTAATGGATGGCTTTATTTTTCTTAGAAACCAACTACACCCAACATAAAAACTCCAGGCTCTGTACTGAAACTTAAAACCATGAGAAAAATGCATGAGGCTGGATGGACTGCGGTTTCTAAAATGGACAGGAAAAGAAAAATAAAAGAAGTGGAAAAGCTCTTTACTTAAAATGAAAGAATTACTAGTATTTGAGTGTATTACTAGTTTTATTAACACTAATAATTGTGTTACTAGTATTTGATTAGTATAACCACAGTAGTATTCTTTCAGAATTAGTACATTGTTGCATTTTTCTGTCATACTCCATATGTTTAATAGTATTCCCTTCCTATTCTATTGCACTTTATAGATACATAACCACATCCACCTGCAGAGCGTTTTCTACATTTCCCCCATGCTATAGAAAGCTGGGAGACAAATTAGCCCCTTTCAATTTTTGAAGTTAGTATTAACTACAAAGAAAGCTGTTTCAAAGAAGAAAAATTAAAAGTCTGGCATTAGAAATACTGGTTTTAAAGAAATTAAGTTCTGTTCTTTTAAATTTACTCTTTTGTAATACATAATTCACAAAAGGATATTATTTAAAGAAATACTGAAGCTGTTAAAATGCATTCACTTTGACCTGAAGTTGTCTTGCTTTTTTATTAATTTTAAATGTTGTTAAACTGTCTTTTTAGACTGTTTTGTTTTCAGTAGCTACTAGTTCAGTATGTTAAAACAGTTTTGAAACTTCTGAAACTGAATTTTCAATAGAATTACTTCAGTTTAAACATATTTCAGCTTCATAAGGAGTAAAATATTCACACATTTTAAGATTGTAAAAACAATGTTAAGATCTCATTAAACTGTTTATCTGAAATGTAAAGTGTGGGACCAAATGTTGTTGCTTAATGTATTAGAACACAGATAGAAATCACCGGGCAGCCTTCCTAAGGACTAACAGCTTCTGCCACATAAGCATAAGACTAATTTAAAACAACATACATTTCTGCATTAGTCCTTGGTTTTTCATAGTTTCACAACAACAAAACCATCCTTCAGAGTCCAGAGATAATAAGAAAACAAGAGTTACACATCAAAATATTAGGAAAAATAAAAATCTTGGATTCATCTGAAGTGAGTAGCAAACCATAATGTGTTTGATTCTTTTTGTGTAGCCATTTTATGTATAGGCTAGTAGTTTGAGTTTCTGATGCCTTATCTGTTGAGCAGTGCTATTTGTAATGATTTTTTTAAAAAATTTTATGTAATTGTCAAATATTCTCCAAAGATCTGAAAGAATGTGGGTTTTTTCTCCATATATGGAATCTGTTATGCAAGAAAATTTTCTGAGAAGCTGGAATGAATTTTCTTGCTAGTAAGAGATTTCATGTGTTTGCAGAGTATTGAGTTTTTATAATGTAGCTACTTAAAGAGTGTAAATGAGAGCAGAGGCAGAACAGAGAAGCTGCTTGTAACAGCCAAATTCAGGATGTCTGTTTCCAAGAAAGATTATTTTACCATAAGTAGTGTAAAATAATCCATTTAAACCTCTCCCACATACACAAATTATTTATTTTCTGACTGGATACGGGGAATATTGTGCAAAGTCAGTTACTTTCAATTTTAGTTTCAGATGTTACCAATCTCTGTACAGCTACTTTGCAGGAAAAAGAAAAAGCAGTCACCAGAAATGCAACATATATGTGCAGTTTGTAATTTTGATAGAGGGTGGTATTTTATTTACAAGATCTAAATATTTGACAGTGTCTCTTAGTTAATTTCAAGGTGGCATACTTCTGATTTTGACTGTTGCTGTTGTTGACATCTTTATCAGATATCCAAACTTGACTACTAGTTATTGAGCAATCAAAACCAAAAATTACTGTTGTTTTGGAGTATAATTAGACTTCTACTACCATGTCTTCTTAGCTATGGCTCACAGACAGATCTACAAACTATAATTTTGCAGTCTTGAAGTTAAGATTCAAAATCCACATCAAGCCTGGGTTACCCACATTTATAGCTTTGCTAATTCCAGAATATATGATATTTGAATGCCTTACTGTAAAAACTAGGATTTAAATGATTGTTCCTTGACACTTTACATGAATAATAAATGGTTTTTCTCGGTATCTAACAAACGTGATTTTCAGTATAGTGGTATAAGTACAACACCTGACACTTCAGGAGAAGAAATGACAAGAAACATAAGTAGTAAGAATTAGAAATGCTAGTTAATTCTTTTAATTTTTTTTTTTGCATGTCACAGTGAGTTGTGTGGTAATTAATGTCTTGAAGGTGGAGAGAAGTCTTTCCACTTGAACAGGTAAGAATTCAAGTCTGTACTGCCCCCATCTAAACTCAAATAGTAAGTAATCAGTTGGGACCTCATTGTTTTCCAGTATTGTTGCCTCAGAGTTGTGAATCTGTGGTGCATCATAGTCCTACTGATATCATGAGTGTGTCATGTGGTGTATTGTATAAATCATCTGCAAAATTACAATAATTTTATTAGTACCACTATAGAAAGCTTACAGGAAATGTAATCAACTAGGAGTATCTTGTATATCTTAAAATAACAGAAATATCTAGCACTTTCAAAAGAAATGAAACCAAATACAAAGCAGTCTATCCTATGAGCCAAACATCAAATAGGATTATGAAGCATTTTCAGACCATAAATGCAGATTGTTGGCATATGATATGCAACAGCGAATTGCTGGTTTAATCTGTGGCTGATAGGAAATGCTGCAGCTAATCCTAGGGAAGAAAGAGAAGCGGTCATCTGTGAATCTATAAAGAGAGCTATGTTTCAAGCTATTACAGAGTGACTTGATTAGCCTTGAGAATTTAGCAGCCACAATATGTTTAAATGAAAATCCTGGCAAACACACTTGTTTCTGTGGCAGCATATTAGGATCTTAATTCCTTCAATCAGTGGAGGTCTGCAATAGGATGTGGTTGGAAATAATTCTACCAGAATACTGATCTTTTAGAAGTCTGTTTGGTTTTGTTTCTAATTCTCTGTTGTTTGTAAGCATGGATATGTTTTTATTTTAATATCCACTGTGCTATATGGAAACGAGTTTCTCTGCTCTGCAAGTTAACTTGCCCATAAGATCACAAAGTTTTCTTTGGGTTGTACTGCTAATGGGAAGAGTGAGTAGAAAGTGTGATAACTTCTCATTGTTTATGCTTTTTTCTTAAGCATTGGTCAGTGACAGAGTCCTTTTAAATTCCATATAAGTTCCTGTTAGTCACTGAATTTCTCTAGCCTGTTACAAAGATTCCTGGGTAATGAACTCAAGAATTCTACCATTACTAAATTCTGTTTACTGAGATCACTTAAAACACTTCTTTTCGAACATCAGCATACTGTCTTTCACTTAATTAATGTGTAAAATAACTGATCTCAGTGAATGGATTGCTTTAGTTAAGAGAAAGGTTAAAGATGCATAATTAACAGTTTAACTGGCTGTTCCAGAATGGGGCTACAGAGCTGATGACTGTAAAAACATTAAAAATTTCTATCACTTAATGGTCTGTAGGTCAACAGGGGGTCAACAAAGGAAATTAATCTGTAAGCATCAGACTTTTAACTGTGGCTCTTGGGAAGCTGTGAAAGAAGCTTTGGGCACTCACAGATTGCCACATTGGACTTTGTTGTCCTGCCACAGTCTGTCTTCCTGCTCCCAGTAAGTAGTGGGATCTCACTCTCATCTAATGTTCAGAGAGGTCAAGTGAATGAACTCTGGTCACATGAACAATCAACAAAAAGTTTTTCTACCAGCTCAATAGTTTTTGTAAATTACTGAAGAGATGTGAATGTGTGTATCACTCTGTTAGTGCATCTTTGACAGATGGGCAGGCTAGTGTGATGCCAGCAGAGAAGAGGTGCTCTGTCCATACCAGTGTGGAGCTAACTTGAGTATGAGGGGCAGTAGTCACATTAGTCTCAAGCTCCACTCAGACTAATTTATTGTACTTCCAGATAAATGAATTTTCATTCTTAATACTTGGTCAGATATTTCTGTAATGCACTGCAGTGCATTCAGAGGCTGGGTAAAAGACCTTCAACAAATAAATGCACTGCTGAAATGACACTACCTGTTCTGGTGATTAATAATTCCTGACATTCAGTATAGATCACATTGGACTCAGTGCCCAACAGCTCTATGTCTTCATGACAGCAGGGCTATGGGCAGACGAAACTAAGGACATTGCATCTATGTAGTTGCCTTGACAACCAAATTTGTACTCGCCTCAAAGAATGAAATCAGGTTTGTGTGGCATGACCTATTTTATGTAACACCATCTTGACATGCATTAATCATGTTCTCATCTGTTAATTCTTTATTGCTCAAGACCTGTATCAGCTTTCTCTTATTTTACCTGATCTGCCAGGGATAGATGTCAGGCTAGCTGATTGAGAGCTACATGGGTCAACATTGTCTCTTTAAATATTGGTGTAATATTAGCACTTTTCTTAAAGTTTTGAAATTGCTGCAGTATTCCATAACTTGTTGAAATTACCATTAGCTAGCTAATGATGTTGATTTTAAAATAGCTATTCCTTATACAATTAATTTAATACTTTTTTTGAAAATGTGTATGTTGGTTGTTCTGCCACTGTCTTTTCAAATGCACATATACATACTGAAGACTTTACACTTTGCATCAACAGCTTGTCAATGAACATTACTAGATGAAGACATTACTGTTGGCCTCTGTCCTGACAAGTTTGTTTCCTAGTCTCCAGCTTCCTGTGTGAGTTTTCTAAATTTCCTCACTTTTAACAGTGATTGCTGTTTTCTTTTTTTCATTGTTACAGTTTTTATTGTTGCATTCTTTTTCATCTTCATTAGGATAGACTTTCAGAGTTATTACAAATTTTTTTTCTTTGCTATGTTTGCAGACAAGATTTCCCTAAATTTTGTTAATACAAATTCCTAATATTTTTTTTTTACCCTAATCTGAATTTCATGCCCCCTTCCCCCACGAGATACATGCATTTTTCTCAAGTCAGAAATTAGCACTTTGAACCAGTAAAGAATATGTGCTGTCATACTCTGATCTGTCTTCTGCTTATATTCTTATAGGATATGCTGAGGACACTTTAAACCTGGATGTTGACATCTTCCTGCCAGGACCACAGTATACAAATATAGCTCAAATATAAAGCTGTGCATGTAAACCACTGAAATCTTCAGAGAAGTGAAGTGGCTGTACCTATCTCAGCTGTGTGTACAAGAATCACATGTGATGCTCTTGATTTAGAAATGCTAAATTTTATTCTTATTTGGGGCACTTTTGTCCTCTCTAGTATTTAGTTTTATAAATTGCTTTCTTTTCCATTCAGAATCATTGTCTCCTTCAAAATACTCATAAGATTTTCCAAGAAAGAGCGTTCTTTTCTGTCATTAAAGTTTTAACCAAATCCATGGATATATATGTAGTGTATCCATATATATATATATATACACACAGTGTGTATATGTACATGTACACATCTACATATGGGTGTGTATATGTATATACTCATATAGCCTGTATATTTAACTGCATTTAAAATGTCAGAAAAATACAGAGTTAAATAATGTATTGGAGTAGTAACAAAAGAACAGTGTTATGCTTCTGTTGCTAAGTGTAGATGCACAGATGTTACTGAGAGTACAATTAATACGCCACTCATGCCGTTAAGCCAGAAGGAGTTATATTTAATTCCTGAGAAATTATATGGTAGAAGTTAACCCAGAATTAAAGACTCCATGAAAACAGAAAGCATTTGGCTAGTCTTAATAGAACAAGAACTCTTACCATGTTATCCAAAAAAAAAAACCACTTGGAGGGTTAGTCCAGGACTCATAGCTCTTGTGCAGCATTCTGAAACTGTGGGAAAAGGAGACAATGTTATTCAGGAATTAATTAAACACCAGTTGGGGCTGACTGGATCACACCAACAGCCTAAGGTGACCATGTTTACTAGCTTAAACTTAACTTTACTGTATTTCTTATGGCTATGTAAATCAGGAATGTGGTTGACTTGCATAAGACATCTGATCAAAGTCCAAATGGCAGTTAGGTGATCAACTGAAAGGGCAAGTGTTAACACAGGAATAGTGAGAAGGCTGGCCAGATATGATGAAGCAGTGTCGGACAGTGGCTTTCTCAGCCCTTCTGCTCCTGCCAGGTGCTCCACAAACCCCTAAATGCAACTGTTTTTCCCTCGTGTGGATGTCTCAGTATGGTGGTTTAGTCCCAGGCGGGAGCCGGGCACCACGTGGCTGCTTGTTCATCCGCCACCCCCCGTACAGGAGGGAGAAAAATACAACCCTCTGTGGGCTGAGATACAGAGAATTTAATAGGACACCACAGAAGGAACAGTAAATAACAGCAGTAACAATAGGTATAACAACATATAACAAAGGAAACAGGTCACCGCACAGGCTCCGGGCGGCACCAGCGGCTTGCAGCCCCCGGGCCCAGCAACACACAACCCTGAAAACCTGGCAGCCCCCGTCCCCGGAAACCCCCAGCCCTGCTGCTGCGGGCACGGCGTCAGCGTGGCAGCGAATAACCCAGCGGCTGCTCCGGCTGTGTGCCCCGGAGAGAGCTCCCGCCCGACTGCAGGGGAAAACCAACCCTATCCCAGTCGAACCAGGACAGTCGGTTTCACTGGTGCTGGTGCAATATTTTGCTTTTTGTGCTACAAGAAGTGTTTTTTTTAAAAGCTTTTCCCCTATCAATATTTCTGTACCAATTGCTTGTTACTTCAATATTTCCTCAGTAGGTTCAAGGCCAGATAATTTCTCAGTGTTTTTTGTTTAAGTAGCTAAGTCAGGCTGTACCCAGGCACACTGTAGAGCAGTTTCTTTGATTTGAGATTTTTTACTTCATGTGTCTAGCACTGCATCTCTCAGTTCAGCATGCCTGGTAATCAGCAAAAGGAGTGAACCAGACTTATTAGACTTTTGCAAAACATAGGTGTAGAACTAGTCGTATGTGATTCAGGATGATTCCATTTCCATGCTAGCCTTCCTGTCTTGATGTTGCTGTCCTATGTAGTGATTAAATTCATCAATAATTTTTTTAAAGCAGTGGTTAGTCTAAAAGCTTGAGGAGAGAATGACTTAAAATAATTAGATTTCCAGCTCCAGTTTCCAGGTTAGGATATTATGGACACATTTGTTCCTATCACATTTGCTTTGTTGTTCAGTATGAATTTTCAATAGATGACTTTGTGATAAGGAAGCAGCAATTCAGATGCAATTATATAAACGGTAAGATCAGCCTGGAATTAGCCTAGAGAGTATAAAGAGCACACAGAGCTTTTGCTGGGTCACTGCCTCTCCACGCTCAAGGCAGAATCAGGTTCCTGTAATAGGGAAGAATTCAGCTGACAAGAGGTTGGTCTTTCCAGACTCGCATTGTTGCAGCTACAGGGTAAACCAGACTGTCTAATGAAGGCTTTTGCGATGGGAAACTATGACAGCTGGAAGAGATTAGAGGGTGATGTCCATGTGTTTGTAGGCACTGTCATTTAAGGTTTGTAGTTTAGAGGCTATAGAGTAGACCCTGGAATTTTCTTGGAGCTGATCAAAGCTTTGTTCTCGGGAACACCCAGCAGGTCTGATCAATGAGGTCAGCACAACAAACAGAAAGTGGGCATTCATTGATTTGAACTCTTTGCTGATGTTCTTTATTGTAATTTACTTGAACCTGTTATTTAATTCTTGACAGTGTTCCCATTTCACCATTCTGCTAGACCAATGGGAATAAAAAATACAGTGGTATGCCTGATATGCACAGCTGTTTTTTTTTTCCCTCTTGAACATTTTATAAGATGCTTTCTTTAGAAAATTACTTTTAAACCAGTGAGATTATTTTAGCATCTCTGGTTAATTCTAGAGTTTATGTCATCTCACATATGTCACTTTTTCAAATCCTTTAACTCCTGTTACTTTCCTGTGCTACCAGTTTAGCACTCCTTAGTGAAAAGTTCCATGTAATATGCTTGAGCATAGAGGGGGAAAAGTAAATTTGCTGTATGCTATTAATGGCCTATTTACCCTTCTTTTCTGTTTAGTGGCAACTACTATTTCAGTTAACAGTGAGATTGGAATGAAGTTGCTAGGCTGTAGCTAAAAAAGTTAAGATTACTTCTAGTGTGTGACTATAATAGCTGTTCTTGTCAAATTCTGAGAAAAAGGCTGGAAGGTACATCTAATTTTACTTAGGTTTGCTTTGTTTGCTTCTCCCCTATCTAGCATGAGTCCCTTCCTTGTGATGTCTCTCCTCTTTGGCTTGACTTTTGGTCAAACAGCATCGCTTTGTGCTCCTTCAGAGTATACAATCCATGTGGAAAAAAGGGAATGTGCCTACTGCCTGGCTATCAACACCACCATCTGTGCTGGATTTTGCATGACCCGGGTAAAAGCCTTTACTCTGTTTTAGGCAATTATTTCTATAATGGCCATCACTGCAAAACAAGTGAGGAGATTATATTTAGTCATTCTTAATATAAATGACTTGAGTAACTTCTCCTGCTACTGTCATGACAGCTAGCTGGGGAGAAAACCTCACAAGTAGGCATGCCAAACATAATGTTTGAGCTTCACTGCTCATAGCATTTTAAGTTCTACCTTGGTCAGCAGGGAGCAAGTACAGATTGCAAAGCACTGTCAGCAGTCTGAGCCAAGCACATTAGTTAAAACCATATAAGCAAGGTGAACATATCTATGATGGCAGAGAGCCCAAATCACTTGCAGATTCAGAATTACAGATCTGAACAAAAATATGCTGAAAATATCACAGCTAGTCTAAGTGTAGAGAGGTTTGCTTTCTGCACATTTGAGAGAATGTCAAAGGAAGTCTTCTGGCATTCATGTGTTCCTCAGTGAAACAATGCATTTATTTTTTCTTTGTAGGACAGCAATGGCAAGAAGCTGCTACTCAAAAGTGCTCTGTCCCAGAATGTGTGTACGTACAAAGAGATGTTGTATCAAACAGCACTGATTCCTGGCTGTCCTCATCACACTGTCCCTTACTATTCCTACCCTGTGGCTGTGAGCTGCAAATGTGGTAAATGTAACACTGATTATAGTGATTGTGTTCATGAGAAGGTTAGGACAAACTATTGCACTAAACCACAGAAGCTCTGTAACATGTAAGCTTCCAACAAAATGTGGTCAAAATGTACCTTTCTGTTCACAACTAAATAAAAATAAAAGTGTATTTCGTACAGGTTTGCAAACTGATGTGTACAAAGCTTTATTCTAAAGATGTACCACTAGTTACTTGAATTAACGATATTCTGTGACATGCACAAAAGCAGAATCATAAGGCAGCAGGTTTGTATTTAGAGCCCACCTGTAATTTACTTGTAGAAGGACAAATGACTGTATATATAAGCCTTTGCTCTTAAATGCCAGGTATTTTGTGAAGAGGTGCTCCAAGAAAAAACATTTTATATATTTCTGAGTTTAAAAAAAGGCAATGTATACACTTAGTTTTGAACATTTTAATTAGATTTAGATTTTGACATAGACTTACAGCCTTCATATTATCAATGGTATTTTTCCATATGTGTAACATTCAGGTCTTTTTGAGGACCATAGCTTCAGTGTAGTCAACTGAACTAAGCACATACAGTTTTGCTTGTCTGTGCTGTAGATCTATCATCACTGTTATTGTCCAGACCCGTGTTCATTAAGCATAATTTTTCATGTCTGTGCTAGTGGAGTCAGCCTCGCTTTTCTGTTGAAGTACACTGCTTGAAAAACTTGTCTTGTGACAAGTGAGCACTGAAGAATCAATCAGGCTTCAAGTTTCCATGAGGGGAGTACAATACCATCGAACTCAGAAGAAGCTTTCTCCCCACACAGGTCAGCTGGTCTCTTGTTAGTGGGAAAGTAAGCCATAGCCCAGCCTATGTGCTGAACATGCACAGGTGAGAAGTGCAGACCCAGGAATAAAGAAATACATGTCAATTTCACTTTCCACTGAGATTTCCTTCCCCTCCCCCTGTTGTGTTGTTGTTTCATCAGACTTGATAACTCCAGGGCAAGCTATGATGGTACTAAAACAATCAATGAGAATGAGAGCTATCTTCCACCTGGTCTGTGACTCCAAACAAAGTAGAAAAGCTTATAGAATCCAGTGACAGACTTGCAACTTTGCCCCTCACCTCTACTACCTACAACCAGAATGATGAAATTGCAGTTTGATTAAACTGTCCCTGCTCAGAGGTTCACATCAGGATAGCAGCATTTGTGCTCTTTCGGTTATCCAGGCAGATACTTGTTTTATTTTGGCAAGTAAGAGACGCAAACAACCCCTAGAGCCAGGAAGATGAAGACCAATGTGTCTTCATTGAATGACCAGCTTGAAATGACAAGTGTACTCAAATATTGCCATTGTGTCCCTCAGAGAATTAACCTGCTGATAACCCTCAGAGCCCCTGTACACCCAGCTGTTGGCATAGTTCTTCTATCTGACTGTCTTTATTTCTGCTTCCAGAACATACATAAGGCGGCAAAACCCAATGATGCACCTACTAACATACTCCTATTTTTCTTGATATTAACAAAATATTTTTTTGTTTGTGGGAGGGAAGCTGCATACATCTGCTGTATGTTCTTTGGCCTTTTAACGTTCTCCTGTGTGTTACTGTACATCAGTATTTCTTCTTGGGAAAAGCCTCACGGTGCTGATAAGTGCCAATTACTTTTACACCTTAAAACTGTTTATCTGTGTTCTCAGGAGCTTCACTTGGTTCCTTTATGGAGCAGCATGAGGTGCCATTCCATAGTTAAGCCCAGAGTCAAGCAGAGTCCTATTGTGAAGAGTTCATTTTAAGGGTTTGACTGTTACGCAGTTGTCCCTGGCTGCTGTTACTCAGTTAGGAAAAATCAACAGGGTAGGGTATTTTTAAAAAAAATTTTATAGTCTCCTATTACTCAGTATGCAAACAAGGGAAAGTGGATGACATAAAAAGGAAACAGCCCTAAAAGTATATAGTTAATAGATGAAAAGTATTAAAAAGAAAATAAATGTCCTGTCTTGCCAAGATGGCCCTAAGACTTTGTAAAGTCCTTTAATAGCCTTTGTATGCACAAACTCAGTTGCTAGGAGCATCCCATCCCTTTTCCGAGCACAGCAGGTTTGACGTGACAGACTAGTTAGCAGTGGAGTGGTATCTACAAACTTTCAACCAGGTATTGAACAGCAGACCTTACTCAAAAGGTGCTGTGATGCTGAAGTGAAGCAGAAAGTAACTTACTTTATTATGTTTTCTCCTGAACTTCCACTTCTTCCTCTTCCCCGTCCCACATTAAGGATGAAGCTAGAATGACGTTATTGCCAATACCAATTACCTATATTCAGTCGTGTATGAAAAGTAGCAGTTACTAACCCGTACCCCCTAGAGGTTAGGTACTAGACTGAAGAACAGCAAGGGCCCACTCTCCACCCTTTCTCATTTCAAGAATTCTCGGCCCCTGCACTTTCTCTCCCAGCTTGAAACAATGCCAGCTGCCACAACAATTAGAGCTTTAAAGTTTTCTGTAAGTGTGCATCTTAATTTTTAGCAGAAACATCAAATAATATTTAGAAGTAGATACTCAAGCCAAACATATACTCTGTGAGAATGCTAAAAATATATTCGATTGCCTGCTCTTCTACCATTCGGTAACTGAATTTTCAATGTCTCTGAGAGAAAGGTGGTAACGACCTGGCACATTCAGCACCAATGTCCCATCACCATCTCTGTACATAGAATAAGCCCTTTCTAACACAGAGGGAGAAAAGATTATGGCATGGTAATATTCTTATGCAGCAGGAA